GGTAAAGGTTCTCTGGAATTAAGTGGACAGTGCAGCAGAAAAGACTGAGCATCAGTGCACTGATATACTAAATTAGCGGGGGTGAGCAACGACTAGAACAATCAGCATATCAGCTCTTCGTTGGCTACTGAAGAAACAGACGGAAAACGTATGGAAATGTATCGAATGCAGGGATATCTGTTCTAGATTCATTCCTTGATGCTTGTCGTGTTTTATGAACAGCATAGAGAGACATGATCACCAATGTTGGGAAAGCACTTAACAATCACAGTTGTTATGGTGGCTGATCTAATAATGCAAACATAAAAGAAGAAAAAAACTAATCTAAGCGTGTATAACTGCTTTTATTTCTGTCCACGCAAGTTGACTGTATTGCGTATATGTAAATAAAACACAAAATTAAAAAAAATTAAAAACATGAAGTAATTTTAGCTTCTACAATACATTAAATAAAACACACATACACACACCACACACAAACAGCAAAACATGCCATGACGAAACTACTTCAGCAAACAATGACTTATGTGGGATACCTAATTTTATAAAGAAAAATGTGCTTATGGAAAACGGAGTCTTCCCTGGTTGGTTGGTTAAAATTAAGCAAATAAATGAAACCTTTAAACTGAAAAACAAAATCGACTACATTCACACATTCTCTGTTTCACCAAGATAACCGCGAAGTACTCAATGGAAGTCATAATCATCATCAAAAGAAAACCCCAAACAAATCGTCTTCAAAAGTCGAAATGAAGACAATGTTGGTGTGCTTCTACGACAGCAGAGGAGTTATTTGCAAAATAATTACCTCCAGAGGGACAGACTGTCACAGCCACAGTTTGTTTAGGCATTTTTAAACGTCTATTGAAAATGTTTCCCCAGTTCGACCCAAGTATTCAACACCTGGCAGTTTTGTTCCCATCCTCATGACAATGCACCGGCTCATCAGGCGCTAGCTGTACGTGAATATTTGGTCCAAAAACAAGTGTGCGTTCTCAACCATCCATCCTATTCCCCAGAATTGTCTCTCTGTGATTATTACCTATTCCCGAAATTAAAGTTACCATTGAAAAGACGCTTCTTTGACAATATTGGTTTGGTTTGGTTTATACGACTGATCAACATCATGGCACAACGGTAGTAACTGTACTCCCTTCTACTTCTAACTTAAGACTGAGTGAACTACGTAGCACAGGCGAGGATGCTGAAATACTTTGGGTATTCTTTCGACTGGGAGTCGCCGTGGCAGAGCGGCTAGATGCGCGCCGCGGATCGGAAGGTCGTGGGTTCGCTCCCTGGCGGTGCCGGACTTTTCTTCAAAAATGACCTTGGCTCCCAGGTCGACCCAGCCTTGAGTGGGTACCGGGTGCAGTCCCGGGAAGTAGGGGCGGACGGCGTGATGCTGACCACATCACCCACCTTGTGCCGTTGGTCTATAAAAAATATAGGTCTAGCCCTATATGGACTATACTCCTCAAGGCGTGGAAAAGGGTCTTTTACTTTACTTATTCTTTTGACTCCAAATTTTCCCTGGACTGCGCCATTAGGCCATTCTTTACGATTCCCAGATGCCAAGCGATTTTTTTACATCCGCAACAATACACACGGGCTTCCAATCTCACTACCCAGAGACCAGGGAAAATTACTAGCAGTCTAGGGAGAAAATCGCAGCCTTCATCTGAACCTAAACCCTGGACCTCCAGCTCCCTTGACAATACTGAAGACATCCGAAGGGCCGTAACATCGACTTTAAGACCTTAACAACAGAAGAACTACAGAGGTCGTTCCAGTGTTTGTTAAATTGTGCCACTCGCTGTATCAATACACAAGGGACTTACTCTGAATAAAATACAGGTTATATCTTCTACTGTTGCTTATTGTAACATCACTACACGTAGGACCCGAAAAAAAAAAACAAATATGTCGTAATAGTGCTTCCCAGAGCACTAGGAATGCCCAATATATTCAATATGTCAGTAACATCATAGTCCGAAATCAACAAGTTGTTCAGTATGTGAGTAACAACACCCCCACAGCATGAGGAAGGCACACCATGTTCATTGCATCTGTAACATCCTCTCATACAGATCCAAACCGTCACCGTACAAGTCATAGGAAATGTTTATCAGATGCAGTACAGTTCTGTTTCTTGTTACTCGCCTCTGCAGTGGATAGCACAGATGTACGCTATTATGTCACGTCCCGTATCTTTGGTTCTTCAGCTCGTCATTATCATCATCGGTCCTCATTGGTCTCAACTGTAACCTTAGAGAATTAGGGGCAGGAACAGCTAACTATCCAGTGTTTGCCTAGGGGCAGCAACAGCTAACTGTCCAGTGCTTGCTTAGGGGCAGCAACAGCTAACTGTCTAGTGCTTGCTTAGGGGCAGCAACAGCTAACTGTCCAGTGCTTGCTTAGGGGCAGCAACAGCTAACTGTCCAGTGCTTGATTAGGGGCAGCACAGCTAACTGTCCAGTGCTTGCTTAGGGGCAGCAACTGCTAACTGTCCAGTGCTTGCTTAGGGGCACAAGCTATTGCCATTATGTATGTATATACAGTATATAACTACCTAAGGACAAGAGGAAAGTGAATGACGACTCCAACAGCCCTGTAGACAGGAAGCTCGTCAGCCTGGGGTTTTAAGCGCATGGCTAGTGCTGCCGCTACGGACTGTGCATGTAAGGATATTTAATTTTGCGTCTGACAGAATAATTCCATCGCTTTACTGGGGTTCGAAACTGGTTTTTCGCATACGAGCCTGACGCTCTAACAGCTCGGTCAACTGGTCCCCGCTGACTGATTGCCACCTTAATAAGCTGGGATATATTACGATGGGATCATCTTTATTGTTTACAAGCTCATTATGTCATTCGGGTGATTGTCATAGAGGTTTGACCTAAAAAAAATGTCTCTGTGTGCATTGTCATCTCTTATTGTCGTGCACCTCTGTGTCCCAATAAGAACTAGCCTTAATAATGTCGACTCTGCAAACTTGTCGGAAGCTTTACCGCCTTAAAGAGAGCGTAGTAGATCAGGGGTTGGCTGTCTTCCTACTCCCTCCCCCACTTTGTTCTAGAACTGGAATCGGGAAGTGGGGAAAAAGGTAAATGGGAAGGGTGATCATGGCTCTTTGGTGGACCCAGCCTTAAATGGGCACAACCAGGAAAATATCCAAGGAAGTACTGGAGTGTAAAGTAAACCACATCACCCATAACTGCCAATTTAATATATAAAAATAACTTAGCACCATAGCCCAGTGAACCACTGGAGAAAAAAAATCATCTTTTGCTACCTACGCCGTTTACTATATTCCTACATTCTTTTTTTTTTTCAGCTTTAATCTTTATTCTTAGCATGTTATTCGTTGTATTTTAATGACTGCTTCTAAAAATGGGCTCTCCTCCGTTTTTCGCTGATTACTTTCTGCAGTACAGCACGAAACATGTTATCATTTGTATACATAAGTGTGGAAATCAAGTGAACATATTTAGTGTCATATTATTGTGATGTGACGAGTTCCTTCATTTTCCACACAAGAGCTCACGAAAGACACTTCTGTATTTGCTACTCATTTTATAGTAGATAAAAATATTCGAGGATGAGTTGATTGATTCCAAAACGCCTAGGAACCCTGATATTACTACTAGTAAATTCCTTTCTCTGCCGTCGACTGATAGTTCTGGAAACAGCGACATGGCAATGAAAAGGAAACTCAGGGGTATAAAACAGACGATGAAGAGTGTGGATATCATCACTACCATCGTAGCCACCTTCTGGTGACGATTAAAAGTGGCATCTGCTTGGTCGGAAACCGATGACGTTTTGCGCCATTTATTTGACCGGGATAACTTGACAACCAAAAGCACAGTGCAGATAATGATGATCACAAAGGAACTGAATGGAAATAAAGCGTTGTTGATGGCAAAGAAATACTTCTCGACTGTCGCTCGGCTGCTCGTGTACACAACACCGAGAAGAGTTTTGTTCCTGTTAGGGAAATATTTCATCCCCAGGCCACTCACAGCGTAGACTGGAGCATTACAGAGCAGCAGAATCGTAAAGACACCAGCTATTGTTACAGTCACCCTCTTTGTCGTTATGAGATTTTTTACCTGCAAAATATGAAAACATTGGTTTGAATCGTTTCAGCGGTTTGCGCATGAGGTGATGATTCATAGAATTACACTGTTCAATAGGAACGGCAACAAACTGGCATGAGAGGAAATAAGGGACATTAGTCTTGAACTTACTTATCTTGGATCGATTAGTAAGTAAGTAAGTGAATGTTGCCCCACCAAGACATCACACAGAGCGATATTACGTCCTCAGGCAAAAGCCGGGATGTGGCTTCAAACTAGCGAAAAATTGCATTCCACATAGGGACGACGTTATTAGTATGTATCGATTTTCGATGTAGACCGGAAAATTGACAGCGAAATTAACATACGATGTTCAAACAAAAAATTAAATATTGGAATACTTAACACTATTGCTGACACACAAAACAATACATATGCCTACAATCTCTTAAAATCTATTTATGTTTGGCTCACTATCTACTACCAGTACCAAACTTGGTTACTTACTACATTCATTGAACTAAATATGTATAAAATACAAAGATGAAATGTTTTAGGAGCAAGAGGTGGTGATATCATTACAAACTGACACATAAGAAACGTAAGACTGAAAGAAATCATAAAATTCAATAAATACGTATGCAATGGTTTGTCCATTTGACATGAACTTGAATCGACACTAAAAAAAAAAAAGCAATGCTGGAAGAGAACAAGAAAAGAATATAGGAATGATAAAATTAAGAAGATTGAATATCCTTAAGAAAGATTAACAGCAGTTTTTCAGAATGTTTTGTTTGTAGCTTAGCACCTGCTCTTAATACAGTAATAACAGAAAAACATCTACACCCCAATAAACTATACAAAACAGGTCAGTGAACACATAGAAAGACTGTGTTGTCTAACACGAAAACATAAACAAACCTTGAGAGGTATCATAATGCATAAACATCTTTCCATGGTGATGAGGGCAGTGATCCATCCTGTGATGCGAGTAAAGTTGGCATGCGTCAAACCTCCTGTGAGATACACAAACTCTGCAACATCAAACGGCAGATCTAATAAGTTGAGGGCAGGTGTCAGGAGGATGTTATTGAAGATCGATGTAATTAGACACCCTAGATCGGCCACTGCCAGTCCTAGAGGTCAAAATCAATGAAAAACCAGTCACAGCAAGTCACCGGCACTAGTAAAATAAACTCATACTTCGATTAATAAATAATAAACACATAGTCATGTTGTTTGTGTATCAGAAGTGAAGAAGACTAGTTCCCATCCTAAAGTCGCAATGACCAATGATTGTGCATAGAAGATGACTGAAACCAAAGTAAAGGATCCCTTTTCACGATTTCCCACGTACTGGTCATATAGAGTTTGACCTATTTTTATACACGAATCGGTACTATCTGGATTATGTGGCCAACATCAAGCCTGCCATCTTTATTGCCCAGGATGCTGCCTGGTACTCATTCAAGGCTGAAATTACCTGGGATCCAAGGTCACTTTAGAAGATGACCGATAAGCCCAATTTGAGACTGAAAAGTTCCTAAGGAGTGCAGACTTCAGATGGAAGCAGCAGTAGACGAGGGATTTGCCATACAGTTCTTTCTAGTCAGTCGAAGTTGCACAGGCGGAGAAACGTAGTCAACGTTTCTCCGCCTGTGTAACTTTCACTGACTGGCAGGCTGATGCACAAAGTTTGGGGACTGTACTCCATCCATATCGATCTTGTACAACAGCCTCTTTTGTGTCCGTCTTGATGCCAAATACAATTCAAAAGCAAAACACGATTAACTTAAAAACAGACATACTAACCAAAAAAGCTGGCATTGGCGGGATCCTTGAAACCTTGTTTGATGAAACACACGATACTGATGATGTTAGATACAACTCCAAACAAACATATAAGTTGACTCAGCACACAATATGTAACGTAACATAGAACTGCTGTTAAACTATCACTCAGCAAAGGTTCCAGGGACGTCGCTTGTAAACTACAAACACCGGCTGTTAAATTTGATGGCATTGCTACAGAAGAATCCAGCTATCTTTTTTCTCTGCTCTCTCTTTCTGTTCTTTTGTCAGCTTGAATTTCCCTTAACGTTGAGCTGTGATTTTAATGAAGTTCAATGTATTTTTGGTTCACTCATCGATCTATGAAGAATTAGTTTCCGTGTTGTTTTCCTAAGCCAAATGGTTTGCCGTAATATTTCGTGTTAGAGCCACTCTTAAAGTATATGTTCTGCTGTCTGAGATGCTTAAGCCAAGGTTACTCATGGCTATTAAAGAAAGCGACTATCATTTCTCTGTGCAGTAGATTAAACCTGACTCTGTGACCAATATTTTTGTTGAATAGTTTATACATTCAGTGCTGTTGTTAGTGCTGTTGTTAGTGCTGTTGTTGAATCAATAGCAGGATTTGTAGTAGTTTTCGTAAGAGAGGCAGTTATTGTTGCAGCAACATCAGTAGTTGTGGTAAATAGCACCCTGTCTTGCTCAAAAATGAATCGCATCTTGGTCATGACTACTGTTCTATGCAAGAATTGTTAGTTGAGCGTTTCTGTTAATATAGCAATTTTTTAGCTATGTTCTCGTTCTGAGCATGTTGTAACATTATTATTCCTTTAGCTTATAAATTAATCTGACTAGACACTGCTTCATTTTCTATGCTAATTTGAACCCTAAAGGTCAGAGCTTTCCAAACTTTTGATTGTGACAGTTTTAGACAAAGAAAATTTGACAACAATTTCATCCAGTCAACTGGAAAACCAGAGGTTAAAAAACCTCTTATCGGAGATACGGACACATGCATAAATAATAATAATAAAACTTCTCACGGTACAACCTTTCTCAAGACAACCTTTCATTTATTTTGAAAATGTGTATATTTATGAGATTAATGCAATTGTTATAAGTTAAGAGTAACAATAATAGGAAAAAGTGAATCACGCCAATAACGGGTCTTATGTGTGGCGATTATTGTGTTTTACGCCTTATGTTCGCTCCACACATCTTCACACTGCAGCCGTCACACGAATAGGTAGCAAGACACAGTTCTAAAGCTCTGCTACACTAACGATGTCAGATTGTTGTCACGATCACACTGTAGATGTCCCTTGTGATTGTCATTATCCTTTGTAGGTACGGAAGTCTAACGATACATGTAGTGTTAAAAACTGTAAATCAAAGAATTGTAAAGGTAAATAAATTGTTAGGAAATAAACGTCAATGTTTATTGGAATAACAAATTTATGTTTGGGCATAACATTGTGTGTGTGTGTGTGTGTGTGTGTGTGTGTGTGTGTGTGTTTGGACGAGTTATTTATGCCTATATGATCTCCGTAGGTGTCTATTTGCGCGTTATGTATATATGTATGTTTGGGTTATTGCGATGAGGGCCAAGAATATGTTTACATTTGTAAACAAATATGGGATTCCCTCTTGGCTAAGTGACATATGGAACAGCAAATTGTTCCTCGCTTACGTTGTCGATGTAATGTTACAATAATGATCTTGCATGGCCATGCAATTCTGGAGTGTGAACAGGCATTAAGCAGATGGTCGATGGCACCGGTTTGGAAAGCAAGTCTAAACACAAGCCTTAAAAAAACTTCTAAAAACTCATTTTGCAGAGATTTAAATTTCCTGCCGTGTTATCCGATATTACTTTGCCATCTATTGCGACTCCAGTAAGCTGTATCAGGTCACTGCTGACACTACTACAAGAGGACGCCAAACATCTGCTGTCTTTGCTTCCAAATGGTGACTGATCTAAAAGTAGTTATCATTGTCCCAGCCTGTTTCAGTTATTGTGGACCATACTATTTCTGATGTTTATTTCATACTGTCCTCGTGGTTTTTTTTTAAAGAAATTCTTAACATCCACTGGAGAGCTTGGATTGTTCGTCCACTTCTGGACTTAGATCTTGTTCCGGAACTTGATTCTTGCCTGTACCTACAGAACCATAACAAATCTAACAAAGAACGGTTTTTGGGCCGAAATTGTGCTACCAGTGCCAGACATAGACCCTTCCTACAACTATTGAGCGGTAGATCGTAACAACAGAAATGAGATATCTCAGGAAAGCTGCGGGTGGGACAAGAAAAGATAAAACCAGGAATAAAAAAAATTAGTAGAAAACTAAGACTGAAACCAGTCATACAATTCATAAAGTACAACAAATGAGATGACTTGGTCACCTGACGAGAATGTCCTGGTACCAACTGCCACAGAGAGCCACGCTGAAGAAATATAAAGAATAGAGAGCAAGGGGAAGACCATGAAAGAGATGGAGCGACACTATCACCAGCAACCAAACTGATATGAACACCAAAGTTGTACAATGCATTGGAAAAAGCGCACAAACGATCCTTACCCCCACCCCCTCCTTTTTTTTCCCACAAACACCTTGCTGAAGTAAATGATGTAAGAGAAGAAGAAGAAGAAGGCATAGATTTTACAGATCTGGCTTTTTTATATGCAGCCTGTTGGTTTCTCGAAAAAAATGCAAAGGAATTTCCTGTATGAATTAAAGAATACCAATATTTTTTTTGCGTCATGGGTTTTCTTAGGCTGCATGCAAAAAATTGATGCGATCTAACAGTAAATCATCTAGAAAATGGCTTGCAAGTGTGTTCATGAGATGTTGAACGAGCTATAGTAGTATCAGCAGTAGAAGTTGTATTAGTTGTTATAAAGGTACGTGTCGAATAAAAACTACCAGTTGAGTTTGTTGTATAGCTGTTGGTATAGTGCAGCAGCACTAGAAGCAATAGTAATTGTTTGTATACTATCCTGTCCACTCAGAGATCAAACATGGCGTCTAATGATATGCAATACATTTTTAAACAAGCAGTGTGTGGGTAAAACCCGTGCCGATTTTGAGCAAACTAAAGGCATTTGATATGGTAAAATATTATCTATCATCCATATATGAGCCTAATGCTACACCTGCAAAGTCTCTTTTTTTAAAAAATACTGGCTGTGTAAGTCTCTCGAAATAATTTTGTCTAGTCCTACGAAGCAAGTGCAGTTTAAAGGTTTGCCAAACTAGAAATTAATTGATAACATTTTTTGAAGTAATTTAACACTTTTGTATGGAACATGAATATTATAAATATCATAATGGTATTTGGCAGGAAAGCAAAAGTTCCCCACTTCTGCTTTAATAAAATTAGATTTGCACACATATAAATATATACACACACACCTTTAATTTTGTACAAACACCTACACACACACACGCGCATACACACACACATATATTATCAAATCAGACTGTAAATTATTGTTAATACTTGTGTACAGTGTACTATTAAAATATAAATAATAATTATTTTTATTTATTTATTTATTTATTTATTTTTGTGTGTGTGTGTGAAGCGAAGCCGTTGTTACAAATTAGTACACACAACAACAGTGTCTGGGTATATACTATTATTACAACCATCCATAACAGGGAACATAATAATTATCTTACGGTGCAGAGCATTAGTCTGCATGAGTGTAGCTATTATGTTCGATATCTAATGTGGTAATTTTTCTGAGGACACAAATTAATTTAACACCATCGAGGGCAACATGAAAAAAAAAATGAAAAATATTCTTGGTTTGAATAACGGGTGGACATAATTTAATAATGTTGAACTGAAAGTATTGCAGTTTCGTGTTTTCGATTGCTTAAAAGCAGATAATTATGTTGCAACGGTGCTTAGATTGATTTCACACCGGTTTCAAAAAATCAGTTTAGGTGGTTGCTATTAGCGAAGAAGTTTCTTTTTATTGATCGTTTGGGTTGACACCGTAATGACTTCAGTATTTGTTTTGTTTAGAAAACTGCCGTGTTTACATATAATATATAGCTATCAGTCTGACCTTCCACCCATCTGCTGGATTGTCCTCATGTACGCGCATCCTCAGATCTCATAATCCATCTGTCAGATCGTCTATCCAGATGTTTATCTGTCCCTTGATCTGTGTGTCTGTCTTACGGTACCTGTTATCACCGATTAAATACAGTTTAAAACACAAGGTTACATATACTTTACAGGAGTTGCAGGTGAATTCCAACATTTGCTAGCTTTCTGTATTTTGTTTTCTAGACGTAAGTTGAGTAGTTTGCCTTTGCTTTCTAAAGAGCCGACCCTCGATGGTATTCTTTGAATCAACACAAAGCGTGTGTTACCAAACCGCATACAGCTAAATTGAATGAGGTATTTCGAAATTACGAGCTGCGTTCGTAGCCCATAAGCTAGTATTTGTGAGTAGTACTTTGCATAAAAGCTTGCCAAGGAAAAGAGAACATATCTAAGAAAAATGAACGTAAGAAGCTTAGAATCGCCATTTGTTTCCATCTCTGTTTGGGTTCTGGGATCTCATTAGTAGTATAAGAGTCGTTTAGAGGCACCATTCAAATCGTTTTTTACTCCAGACACCTTCTTTATCCTTAGTAAAAAATGGGTGGCTGAGTGATTAGTTTCGGTACGTATTAAAATGTCCTCTGTCTTTCTCGTTTGGAACACTCTAAGTCACACAAGGCAAATCGAAAGTTTCTCACTAATCTTTGTAAGTCGTTCATTTAATCACTTTGGTAAGGCCGGCTACTTTCTCAGGGACATGGTAAGTCATTCAACGTCTGACTCCTTTAGGATATCTTAAATTGTTCATGGGACGCTCAAACTGTCACTGGTTTCTTTTAACCATTCGTCACCAATGTTCCTTGGCAGGGTGGTTACTGTTCTTAGGACACCTTAAGTAACCCGATGTTTTTATTTCGGTGACACAATGTTCACGGAAGTTTCTTAGTCACTCAGCCACTACACCTGGGACAACTTAAGTTATTGGATGTCTTTATCGTTTTGGAAATCTCAAATCGTTCAATGTATTTCTCGTTTGTGACACCTTAAGTCACACAAGATCCTTCCTAAGTTACTCACCGATCTTGCTAAGTCGTTTATGGAAGTTTTTTTTAGTAAGGTCAGCCACTATCCCTAGGTCACCTTAAATCGTTCAGTGCCTTTACCCTT